ATCAACGCCGAATGTCAAAGGTTTCTCTCGTTTCACTTACAAGTTCAGATAGCTTTTCATTTGGATGATGACTATAACTGTGATGGATTTCAGGGATAATGCAGCTATTAGGTGTCCTCAACTTTATGTTCGCCCAGTAAAAAAATACAAAATGACCTTTTGGCTGTATTCCCTTTCCTGACAATGTTTAACTGAACCTAGTTTTACCTTCTATGCATGCTTCCAGATGCTGGCAAGGTCCCGAGCTCTTTTCATCAAGGAGTACAACAACAAACTCTTCAACTGGCTGGTCATATTCTCCCTGGTCATGGTTGTCATTGGGCGCTTCTTGATCAAGTTCTTCCTGCTTGAAGTCGCTGCGTGGGTGATGTTTGCCTTCCTGGAGACATATACGAGGCTGTTCTGGTCATCAGAGTCCCTGTACTACAACCCCGTCTGGCACATGATCGTCTCTTCGTGGGAAACCATCGTCTACAGCCCTGTTCTTGATCTTGACAGGTCAGGAATCTTCCTCCCTTCAACTCTACGCTGCCCATGGCATCTCTACTGCCTGCTATGCTGTGATATTACTCTTATATGCTGCTGATGAACTTGAACAGATGGGCATTCCCAATCGGCGCTGCTCTGTTTTTTCTGGCGTTTTATTGGCGTTGTCTTGGTGGAAGGAGAGGAATTGCCCGGTCACTGCTACCTCTGTATAACGGGTCTTACAGAAGCTCCAGTCGTACAAGAACAGACTGATCCCTCAAACTACATGAACAAACACTATATTAGCATGCACACAATTGTACATAATCCATGTGTTGGTGGCCATGATTATCTATAAACTTCTGTTGTAAATATGAAACCCAAATAGAGTGATTATCTATGCCCAAAGGCTTATCATGCTTATTTCCAACAACTGCATTCTTCAATTATGAGTGAAAACTCAGATTGTTGGAATCATAATTATATAATATCAAATACAGAAAAAAAATAACTTTCTTTTATTCTTCACCATTCAAACAACACTGTTGAAGTCGTACCATATGACCTAGCTCCCACGAGAAATACATCAGATTATATTTAGTCGATTCTCTCTTCTCAGTATCTCATGGCTCACAACATCAGGCATCACAACAAACCACTTGTGGATATTATTGTAACAACATCAGTAAAAGGATGTTAAAGACCAGGGCTGTTCCACTTCCATATCAACAACCAGAGTAACAAGTCAACATCCATATAGAGATGGATTCATCATCTGTGTTGTTCCCTGGATACAGATGCCTAGAGACCACCATCCATTCAGCTCTGCTGCCTCTTCCGAGCAATCTCCCGAGCCCTTTCACGCAGTTCTTCTGGTGGTGGAGGGCGTGGGCCTTCGGGCGGATAAACCACATAAGGACGCTGCAAAGGGGTACACAGGTAGTTTAATCTTGATGTAAATCTATATAGTCCAGGGTCTACCAACACATACACGTAATGAATTCATCTTTTTCAAGTTTGAGACCCAATGGATCAATCAATTGTGAGAATTTTTTCATTGATGAACATATAGAAACGTCTGAGCATCTGTCAACAAACCATACCACAACCATGTCACTTAGCAGTAGAACAAACTGCCATATGCATGCTACGTCAATAAGGATGTTCATTAGGAATCCAAATAAGAATATCTATAAGAAGAGTTATAGATAAAAATTTCACTACGAAGAAGAAAAGTACCCAAACTCCAAGGACCGATACAAGCAGGCGTTTGGCACTTTAGTGACAGAACCATGACTCTGTTTCTTGTAATAGGATTTGTGGAGTCAGGGATTCAGCTGCATACCGTTGTACCAAAGCTTAATTTTTCTTCCTAAAATAATGCAAATGATACACACTTCTCAACATTCTAGTAGAAAAAACGAAGGATAATAAGAATGTTGCATCTAAACCCAATTGAATTTGCTTAAATGAACTAGCACCGCTGAGTAGAAGACTGAAATTGTGTCGCACCATCCAAATCCAAATCAGCTAAAACCCTAGTGGCCAGAACATGTGGCGCAGGTAGCAGCACTGAACCACAGATCCCCAATCGGTCTCAAGCCCTAGTGACACAAGCAGCAGCAGCTAATTCGCCTGACAGGGAGCCAGAGGGGGAGGGAATGAGAAATTGAGAAGCATAGAAGGAACGCACGAGGCCCATGAGCTTCTTGAGGGTCTTGGAGTCGGTGGCGACGAGGTAGGTGAGCGCGACGGGCACGGAGACGTAGACGCCGAACTTGGCGATCTCCAGGATCCCCTTGGACGTCCCCAGAGACGACATGGTAGTCCGCCGGCGGCAAGGCGACCGCAGCCCCACTTCCTTCCTTCCTTCCTCCGCTTGACTCCCTCCTCACCACGCCCCCGTCGGTTCCCCCTCCCGGTCTCTCTTTCCTTGGAGGCGGCGGCGACGGCGAGGCGGAGCACGGGCCGCGCGGCCGTGACGGCGAGGAGGAAGGGGCGCGGGGGGACGTCGCGACAGGAGAGGAGGAGAAAGAGGAAGGGGCGCCGGCGGAGAGCAGCCGAGTGGCGGCGGCGGAGGTCGTCCTGGCCGCGATGGAGATGAGGAGGGGAAGGAGAACAGAAGCAGTGCGCTTGCGGGGAGAAGACCTGGCATTTTGCGCGCCGGACCGGGTTTGGACCACGCCAAAAAAAACAGTTATTTTGGTGTGTGTGTGTGTGTGTGTGTGGGGGGGGGGGGCAGGGAAGGCAGCCTATAACCATCCACCAGCTAAGTTGGCCTAATTTTTCATGCTAGACTTGGGCAGTCTGCTCACATATTTTATAGTATAAAATAGCTAAAAATAGTATTTTGGTTCGGGCTCGAGTCAAGAGCCCTTGTCCAGTAAGGTTCGTGGGCGCTGGGTGGGCTAAAACCTATCGGGCTCGGGCCGGGCTCAATTTGTTCAGGTCTAGCGGTGAGAATTAACTTTTTACCATTATAACGGATGACGTCTCCTGACATAGCACTCTTACCGGTTGCCACTACGTTTATGGCAATAGAGACAAACTCGATACAAAATTCACTTTTGTTCGCGTGGCACGCTAGCACCTCACCCTTGCGTGGATCCGAGTCAGCAGCCCCTGTGAAATGATAGCCCTGCCCCAGCGTCTTTCTACATATACTCCCTCGCGCGGCCCACTCGCCTATCTTGTCCCCTTCTTTCTCTGTTCCGCACGACCTAAGTCTTGCCCGCCTGCTGCCACCGCCGTCACGCACAACGCTCCCCCTGCAGCACTGTCTCGCAGGACCACTATCGCGATAGAGAAAAGGTATGTGGCTACATGCAACCCTTTTCCGCGGTCTGCATTGCAATATGTCGTTGGATGAGGACTAGGGTTAGGGTTCTTCAATTTGATTCGGGTAGGACTAGGGTTAGGGTTCTTCAATTTGATTCGGGTTTTTGTCCCTCTTTGCTTTGTAGGCAGTTGATGTAGTATTTGGTGAAGCAATGGATTCGAGTGGTTGCCCTATTTGGTAAGTTAGCACCTCCGAAGGACTGAGCCAGTAGATCTCAAGATTCACGAAGTCATCACAGGCGCCTCGCTATCGACGGGGACGTCACCTACTAGTGAAAGCATAGCGTCAATAAATCCTAGAATAAACCCAGGAAAATACGAGCACCCGTGCCAAGTCGAGGACTTGAACCCGGGTGGGCAGGTTCTACCACAAGGAACCCAACCAACTGATTTATGATCAGTTCGCTGGTAAGTTAAATCTCTAACTGCACACGGAATGGTAGTTCTTGGTTTAGGAAACCTGTCATGTAGGATATTGTCTAACTCCTTGATTCTGTTTTCTTGATTCATTTTGTCAGGACTGATCCTGGCAACACGTTAGGTTATTTGTTAAGTGTGCTAAGTATGTCGCTGATGGTGAGTATGGTCTAGTAGAAATGGCCGAGCAGGAGCATGAATTCTGGTTGGATAGGAACTGGTAGTATAGTCTGCAGAAATTTCATGATGAAATAGGCACAAAGATCATTTAGGGGCCATCACAAACACTGAAGTTTGGGTGGTTGACTATGAGAGTGGTTTTGAATGGAAAGTTAGAAGAGATAAACATTTTCATCAGCTGATAAAGGATAGATGGGATGAGCCATGGCTCTGCAGGGGAGGGGGGTTGTCGGCGGCGGCGGTGGGTAGGCGAGACCTGGGTCCAGCGGAGCAGAGAAAGAAGGGGATGGGAGAGGGTAGTGGGCCGTGTGGGGGGAGTAGAAAGACACCAGGGGCATGGCGGTCATTTCACACGGGCCTGCTGACCCGGATCCGTGATGGCGTGAGGTGCTGGTGTGTCACGCAAGCAAAAGTGATAATTTTGTATCTAGTTTCTCTCTTTGCTACCAATAGCGTAGCGGCAACGTTAAAAGTGCTATCTCATTATAATGGTAAGAAGTTAATTTCCCTCATTTGCAGTTGGGATAACGACCTGAGGAAGGAGAAATCAGCTATACTCCTACGTAAGAGAGAGGAAAATAAAGTAAAGAAAGAAAATAAAAAATTAAAATAGCAAAGGTACGGAGTATTATGGATATTTTTTATCTACGTAATAAGATGTGTGATCCAAATAACCCTAGCTTCTTATTTATTAGCTATATTTTTTATCTAATTTGATTTGATATAAAATCTGCAGCAAATCTGCTTGCAGGTAGATGGACAAAACAACACTATTATTAAGGCCTTCCAAACTGCTGGGATCAAAACAAAACACTCATGGTTGTCAATTTATTTGAAATGTCAAGGGAGACAACCATCCTTTCGTTTGTTGGTTTCAGCCAGCCCAAACCAATCAGTCAACAATGTTTTCCTCTTATAAAAAAACCAGCACCAGCCAGCCCAAACCAGCACCAGCACCCACCAGCGAACAGGCCCTATTCAGCAACAGCTGCAAATGTTCCCAGCGATTCCACGACACAAAGAAGAAACCACAAGTCCGCCCGCGCAGTGCAAGCACAAGTGATAACTACAACACGAGATTACGAAACTTGCAATGCCTAATACATATGCATGTTTATGGTCTCGTTTGGACCCAACATCTCTGATTCCTGCAGAGCAGCTATTCGGTTTATCTCTGTGGTGGTATTCAGAGTTCCACTGATAGTTGGCTCTTCAGCTTGCAGTTGCAATTGCAATGGGTCTGGCATGGGTATGAAGATGTTGTCAACCAAAGCATCGTCTGCTGGGGTGGTAGTGAAATAGTTGATGATGTCGTCTTGGATAGGCACTGGAACATCACAGCTGGGAAGCTCTGGAATGGGTATGGAGGTCAGTGAGCTCATTTCTATGACCCGCTTTAGGGAGTCCTCTCCCATCTTCACCTGCAACCAGATTTTATACCATGTTAACTACACAGGCATAGCTTTATTACTCCTAGTGTAGGATTCAATGATTTTCATGCGTTGAAGCATAAAAACACAGTTACTATATACAGCATATCATACCTTAGCTCTTAGGGTCTCCATGTCTGCTTTCAGTACCCTGTTGTCAACATTAGCTTGATTGTACTTTTGGTTCATAGCAGCAAGGCGCCTCAGCAAACAAGAATTCTCAGCTTTTAATTTTTCTACCTGTAATGATCAAGCACCATCTTACACTCATTAATTACTCACATATTCTTGATTCCTTTTTCAGTAGACAAATGAAAACTATATATATAACAATATAATTTTCGATACCACACCTGGTCCTCCAGATCCTTCAAGTGAGCGGCTTTTCTATATCTTGAGCGTCTGGCTGATTCTCTATTAGATTCCTTTCTAAAATTAAGTAACAAATAAGTTTAGAAGTCTCCCATGGGAAGGTTATTTTTTGTTGATATTGAAAGGATGCGAGGTAAAACCATATGTTGCAAATTAATGTTACCTTTTCCTCACTCTTTCCTCAGTAGGCATCTTAAATCCCAGAATCTCTACTTCACCATCTATATCCTCATCTGATGGTGAAGGATCCCTTGAGGAAGAGCTAGTAGCAAGCCTCACGCGAAGATCTGCATTTTGAGCATGATTATTGGTTGGATCTTCACCGTTGAGCTTGTTCTGCACCAGATTCTTGCTACCTATAATGAGCCAAAGAGGAAGGAGAAAAGTACGCCTTATACATAATAATTAACTTTGCCTTTTAACATTATTATTCAGTCATATATTCCTGTAAACAATGTAACAGGGCACATAGTAGATAGTACCTCCATTTTGATTGTTTGAGCTTTGAGAATGTTCTGAGTTCACACCACTACTAGAGGCCTGTGGATGGGCATGCCAAGATTTGAAGTTAAAACATTTGGAAAACATCCAACACAATTGCTGAGTGGGAACGTCCAAAAAGCACGGTAGAATGGAACATACATATGCACATGCAAAGTCAGCCATTTCCACTGTAATAATTATTGTGTAGTTACCAATAATTAGCAAATGAAATGTTGTGGTCATATCTTAAATTCCTTATTTGACTTTATAGAATATTTAATAGATATTGCAACTGTAGGCATCGGATTTGAGTTGCCACATCCTAGTTTGATCATACCTGACCTTTATCATAAGTAAAAATAGTATTGTTTCCCTAATGTAGTTTTGCAACCATTAAGTTTGTAAAGAGCTCGTTTGTAAATATTGCCTAATCTAGTTTTAAAAAAACTAGTAATAATGGATTGCTAGTTGTTTGTATACCCACACATGCCACAGCTCAATCCAATATCACAAATCGCGTGGCACTAGCTCCATATAAAACAAAAACAGTGACCTGTGATGTGGCATTATTGTTTGTCAGTTTGTATAGACAAACATGGCATATATAGCTCATCATAGGTACTGTTTGGATCAGTTTCCAAATCTTAAAAGCCAGTTTTTGTCTCTAGTTTCTAAAATCTAGATTTTGAAAAAAAAAACTGGTTAGGGTGTTTGGATCTCTCAGTTTTTTAAAAATCTGACTTCATTTATTACTCTATGGGTCACAAGAAACTGGCAAAAGTTGGGTATCAATAACTTCTTGGTTTTTAATAATCTGACAAAAATTGATAATAAAAACTGACCTATTTAGATCCCACCCAATATCTAAAAGCCATATCCTTAAACACTATAAAAAACTGGAGAGATCCAAACAGGGCCATAGATCTCAACAAATTGTAACACCATATCTCTAGATCATGAATTATCTATCCACATCACTTTAAAAAGGTGGTTGGATGCACTAGATATGATATATATAAACTTAGTACTTCCACAAAAAGCATTAAACGATCGATTTCAATTATTGCACGCCCAACTAATTAAGAACACTACAAAACCTACAACCCATAGAGTACAGTTCAAGAAACATTAGAAAAAGACAGGGAAGAGCAGTACCCTCCACATTTTGAAGGCCATGAGGTCCTCCTCCAACTTCCTCTTCAGTATGGCATTGTACTCCATGGGATCACCTACGTCACTCACCGCCGCAGGCGCCATCGCTCCCTGGTCCACCTCCACCACCGGGTCAACATTTAGGGCTGGGCAACTAGAGTTTGCCACCGGCGTTGTGTCAGTTAGAAGCTCCTCTTCTAGTAACCCCTCAAAGGTCCACTCCGGTGGTGTTCTGAATCTGATCCATCATTTCGCCACCCTCCCCATCACCACTATGAGTAACAACACCATCTATGATGACACTGCCGGTGCCGGTCACCACCAGAGGCTGCTGCTCTGGTGGTGATGGTGGCAGGTCCCAAAAGGGTCCGAGGATCTCCTCCATTGAGAAGACATGATCCATGTCCAACAAGTAACTATCAATGATTTCAAGGGAAGTTCAGGAAGGAAACGAGCACTAGGTCAGGTTGGCTTTCGAGAGGATGGAGAAGCAGGTCAAGCTAGGGAAGGACCCATAGATATGGGTTGGCATATTTCTATGCACCCATGATTGAGAGCTATGCTTGGGTGAGTTAGGCTTGAAGGGTGTTCTTCCCCCCTATTTATCTAGTGCTGGGCTGTGTCTGCAGAAATTTCTGGAGAGGCAAAAGTAGTAGTGCATTGCCCTTGCACTCAATGTGAACCAAGTAGCCTGCTGTGTTCTATGTGACCATGGCAAATAGGACAAGTGATTTTGTTTGAAAGGGAATGGAAAAGGCTAACAGAAATTAAAGTTAGGTGCGCTACAGAGTTGTTATGGGTTTTATCGTGACGCTATGTATATATTTTGTTTCATTTTAACTCCTTCAATAACACGTGTGTTAGTAATAAGCCAAGCGTGCAGTGGATCAAACTGCTGGCCATGTCCGTGTGTTCTAACTTTAAATCATTGGATTGGATAACAAGTTATACTGACTTTGCACTAGATACCATGCCTTACCAAACATGTATTGCACTTTCTGTTCTACCTAGATCTTTGAGGTTCATGTGGATTGTGGAGGAACTACAAGAAACACAAAAAAAAGTACACAACCTTCACTTTTATTGTGATAATGAAAATGCGTACAAGCAATCAGCTGTCCAAATGAAAGCAAAGCTAAACAGAAATCTCAGCTAATAGATGCTATGAGGATATGGGATATGGCATAGTATAGTTTTAAGTTTTTGTTTTTTCCTGTGACTTGCTACATTTTAGAGTAATCTTGCCTAATAATCCAATGAACGATGCTTATCCATTTATAACCTTTCTGATCACTGATTAATTAGCCAACAGGCTGCACTTATTAGCTTGTCCGCTACAGCTGCAGGTGCTCTCATGGGCGACTGGTTACTGGGGCTCGCTCTCAGTCCAGAGACCCAGGTTCGAGCCCTGCATCCTCTTAATTAAAAAGCAGGGGTGCGGTCTGCTCCTCCCTGTCAAGTTTTTTTTTGTCCGATACAGCTAGCTTTCTTATCTAAGAAATGTGCACAGGGAAACATAATCTTACACACTTTGCACTAGACTGTGTTACAACATGTATATATTCATTTTTTCACTAATTTATGCTCCTAATAAAGTATGGTATTTATGGTGACAATATTATAGATTATTTTTGTACATACACTTTCACACACATCTACCCTAATCTAAATTCATATATAGAAAACCAATCACATTTTTATGTTAGCCCACAGCGCCGATCCTGTCGGTTTTGGAGCTTCTCCGGCGACGCCTGCTCAGTTGTCAACTGTGCAAGGGCTGCCACAGGTGACCTAGGGAGGATGGAGAAGACTACCCACCTGGGTTTGGGCATCCGGCCCACGATGACGGTGACTCCTCCACTGCATGCCGCCTCCGGAGCTTCACCAAACGAATACTTCGGAAGGTTGCCTCTCCGCTCTTGCCTCGATCGCCTGCACAGCCGACATCCGCTACGTCGGTACTCCTGCTGCGTAGCAAGTGCTTGGCGGCTCGGGGCCTCTCTCGGGTGCCTGCTTCCAAGCGAGGCGAGGTCCTCATCATGCCGCACATGGCCCTCACCATAGGATTTTCCACACCAAGCACTTCAGGAAAGAAGATATACGAGGACCTCTTCAAGACAGAACCGAGTGCTTCCAATGTTGAAGTGTTGCACACCCTATTTCTAGACACCGGGGTAGGGACGCGCAAGAAGCCGCGTCGACGGAAGGCCGTTTCTTGAGTCGAAGCAACACCCGTCTCTTGGTTATTTAGCTTCTGAGTGATACGATAACTTATATCAATACACAAGGATGGTCCGGCATTGTGCTGCTCCTTCTAGACCTCCTAGGGCGCTTAGTTAAACCGCAACGTTTGTATGTTTAAACTATTCTACTTTAATATCAAAAATATGTAAATCTTTTGTGTATTCGAGAAAAAAAAACATATTTTTATGTTTCAAAGATAAAATTTTCAAAGTATAAGACATTTTGGTTTTCTAAATACATATATTTTACTATGCATTTAGATATACATTACGTCTAAATGCATAGTAAAAGCAATGTACCTGAGAAAGATAAAAACATTTTCTAATTTGAAAAGGAGGGAGTACATAATAAAATGCCCATTTTACGACCAGGCTACTTTCTGCTAGTTTTGTTTATATCTTCAACTTTTCTTATTAAAACGTACAATAAATGGAAAATACTGACACAAGTTAGGTGCTATATATGATGACGATCCAAAGCTTTCCAAATCCAAAAAGACAAAGGTTAACAAGAATTGTATGTATCTGCTACTAAGCTACAAATAGTTATGCTGGCATTGTAAGTTTCTGCCTTTTCGATGCCCACTAATATATGTTAGTCCGTATTAATATAAATTAATGTAAAAGAGAAAAAAATAAAAATAACTTTTGTAGCTTTATACTAGGCACACCACATTGTACTTAACACATAATTACGCCTCGTTCGCTTGTCTTAAATTTGACTTGTTCGACTTAATTTTTCAGCCGGAACAGTGTTTTTCTCTCACAACAATTCAGCCGGAACAATGTTTTTCAGCCAAAAGTTCAGACCAGCGAACGGGGCCTTAGTCTCGAATTCATTACATAATTGCGTTATACTAATCTCTTCCTAAAATACCAAGTACTTTAAATATAGATCTCATGTTGACTCGTTCAAATGCTGGGTTAGAGAAAGAATAGCCATTCAGAACCACGATCATGCCTACTCATCTTGTTCAGATGACGGAATCCAATGAGAAATTCAGTCAGTTACTGACCTTAATAATCATGCTTACTAAGGGTGATTATGCTCCTCCGTGCAAAACATATGAACATTGTGGGGGGCCTTGATTTATTCATTTGAGCATTCAACATAAGGACACAATTATTTTCGCTACTCAACAGCAACCCTGCAAGCCAAAATTGGAAAAGAAAAATCTTAATTTCTTTGCTAATGAAAATGGTTGGTTCATGACAATGCGGCCTTCAGGTTCTTGGCTAACTCTTCTAGTTTCTTTAATCCTTCTTCTGGAGAAGCAGCTTCCCCCAACAGCCTCACCATTGCGCTACCGATGATCACACCATCTGCGCCCCATCCTGCAATCTGAACAGCAAATAAAAAAAGCAACAAGGGTGTCAAGGACCTACATTGAGTAAGAAACAACCACAGATCATGTACTTAGCAGGAAAGAGAAGGCAATTACGGTTTACCTGCTGCACGTGCTCTGGAGTCGACACACCAAAGCCAACAGCCACGGGTTTTTCTGTCACCTATAAAAGCAACATATTTTGTATTAGCAATGTGTCCTTCGGACAATACATAGGCAGTAACGCTACTTCACTAAATAACATTAAATAAGGATGATGCAATTGCAAACCTTCTTGATATCCTGAAGAAGAGATTGCACCTTGCCACTCACATTCGTACGTGTACCAGTAACTCCAACAGTGCTTACCTGAATAGCACATATGTTAGCAACTGACTCATCATTTGACTATCAAAAACTCGATCCCAAGGGGGACGACTTCATCTGACTCCCCAGGATATTGCATTAAGAAGAGGATCATCAAATGTATTAAAATATACGCAATAGTAGTAAAGTTGCTTTATTACTACTCCATTATATTTTTCAGATATAACCAGAATATCTTCTTGGTGGCTGAGTAAAGTTCCAGGGAAGTATGCCAGAGCAGATACATGTGTTCTCTAGGTTTAAGCTGCCAACTTGAAATGGCATGGGTTATTCAAAATGTTCGCAGACTTAATGTGTAATAGGTCTATTGTTCACTGCAATTGTTCTTCTCATCTTATGTGTAGTAGTTGGAGTTGGACTATTCTAAACTGCCAAATTATGTATTAGGAACAGAGGTATGCTGTAACAAAACAGACTTTTTAGAAGTAGTACAGAATCTGAAAAACTTACAAGATAAATAAATCCTTCTGAAGCCTGTGCAATTTTCTCCATTCTTTCATTTGGTGTAGTCGGTGTTGTCAGTAGCACCTGCATATATTCATGCAAATGAATCCTATTAAACAGCTAGTGTAAAAAAATGTTACCTCAAACCGCACAGAAGAAAGAGGAATAATTGTTATTCACCCATAATCAGCACGGAGGACAGAGCAACCGATACTATGGCATCATGGACACAATCATGAGTTATGAGCTCAGAATAGAGCCTGTACTTTTGAACTTCTGTACATTATGCTTATTATACAGAAATCTATATATATTCAGGTATGCCCTTCCTTACTGTTTTTAGTGGAAAAAAAGGAAGTAAAATTAATAGTTAAATATTGTAGCTTAAAAGAAAATTAGAGGGGAAAATGTAATCACACAGCTTAGAAAATAATGAAATATACATGTAGTCTCCATATTCTTACTTCTGAATGTGCACAATTAAATAAGCACAAAACAGGATAGAGAGGGTTAAAAGGTGTCTTCAAGTTGGAATTATATCCAGTGAAATTAGAGGGGCTAGATGCACTTATATTTGGTGAAGTTAGAGAGAGGCTAGATGCACCTATATTTGGTGAAGTTAGAGAGTGGTTAGATAGACTTATATTTGGGATCAGAGGCAGTATAATTTTGTATCAGCATTTAAATAACAAGCATGTAATGCGGACCTCTCTTTAAACAAATAGAGAGTTCAGTGGTGCGCAGAAAAATGGCGAGACAAAACAGACACTAAAATCTACAGGGTTAAGGTGTACACCATAGTATAAGAGGGGGCCTACCAGCTCTAGGTTGTTTTTGGCAGCCTCACTCCTCAAAACATCTGTCTCTTCCAAAGGAACATCTGGTACCACAAGACCTGAATGACAGTATTACATCAATTATCACACTGAACATGAATTTCTGAGAAGCTAATCCAACACAGATTTTCTGTTGGGAAGATTTGTCAGTATTATTATCTGAACAGTGCTATGTTTTAGCCAGATTAAGATAGAATGGAGGAATCTAACACTTTATATAAAATTAATGTGATAAGTATTTGCCTATAATGGTATTTTAACGGGACTGAACATCACGAGAATGATGTGATTAATTAGATAAAAATATATATATTACCATGCACACCAGCTTCTTTAACAATACTCATGAACTTCGGGATACCGCGCTTCAGAATCGGGTTGTAATATGTGAAAAGTGCTACAGGGCAGGACAGCTCAGGTATCACCCCCTTTACCATGGAGATGACATCCTCAAATGTGGTGCCCTTTGCTAGCGCGCGTGTCGCGGCGGCCTAAAACGGTACAAACCGAAACACAGGAATAAGCAGAGGCATACATAAGCGACATAGTAATTCGAACAAACTAGTAGAGGCATACCAACCAACCTGAATAACTGGGCCGTCAGCCAATGGATCAGAGTAAGGCACACCCAATTCAATCACGTCTGAACCACACGCGTCAAGGATCTTGAGTGCTTTTGCTGTGGTGGCCAAGTCAGGGTCACCAGCAGTGATGAAGGGGACGAAGGCAGTCTGAAGATTTTCAGATAGTACTATAGTAGTGAGCTCAAACTAATAAACAATATAGAAGGGGGGAAATAGTCAAAGTACAAAATTTCAACGCTGATCTAGAATGATAAATGCCACATAATCTCAGTAACTTGAGTTTGAGTACTATTGTGCTACAAAAATCTAAGTGAGTACTGTCAGAAACATATGGATTGTTCTTAGTACCATATAGTGCAGAGGAAAGAAACATGAAAATTGATGAAATCCATCGAACACTGGTTCACTTGGAGGAAATGAAAATTATCGGCAGCATTGGGAATTACATGCCGAAATGTAACACTAACATGACCCAAATTAAAATGCAAGCAAAAACAGCATGACACAATCCGGTAACCACTGTCAGTCAGCGCATACAATCCTCGACGCCTCCTATCCTATGCCAACCCATCCAATCTCACCCAGCGCAAAACCGTGCTACTCTATAGGATCACCCAAGCCACCCAGCGCAACGGCCGCGATACGCGCGGATTAAAAAAACCGCGCATCAGAAGCCGCAGTGATTGGGGGTTTTCCCCAAAAAACGAAAATGAAGGATTCGCCGAGGACTGTACCTTCCCCTGCTCCCTGAGCTCGGCGAAGGTGCCGGAGATGCTGCGCTTGTCCTCCGACACAGCAGCGGCGGCCGCCGCCGCCGCGGCCGACGGCGACCGCGGGCGCGGGCGCGGCGCCGCGGAACGAGACCCTCCCCGTCGGCGCGGCGCCCCGCCTCGGCCCCGCGGCGGAGAACGACGCCGTCCCCGTGGCGGCAGCCTTGAGCGCGAACGCCATAGCGGATTGGCGGATGTGTGGGTGGTGGTGGCGCTGACTGGGTGGGCGGGCCGCCTCAGTCCTCCGTGAGCGACCGCGTAGTGTTCGACGCCGTGCGGGGGATGAAAGGGGAGGGCGCGTGAGGTGGTGGCGGCCGGGTGATGCAGTCGTGGCCGTATTAGTAAGGGCCCCCCGACCCGGGGTTGGTGGGCCGAGATGGATGAATCGCTCGGGCGCCTGTGGGCCACCTTCGCCAGTGGACAGGTACGCTGCGGTCTGCCTTCTGTGGCCGTCGTCTGATCTATGGCTCGATCTGTTGCAACCACGTGCGCGTTTAATAATTTTTCTTTGATTCAAGCACTAGGCCAAATTTAACCAAGTTAATAGTAAATAATAATAATAAAAATTCATGTCTCTAAATAAATTTATTATAAAAAATATATTCTATAACTAATCTAATGATACTTATTTTGTATCATCGATGTTAGTACTTTTAAATATAAATTATAGTCAAAGTTTAAACTGTTCGACTTCTCGAAACACGAGAAATATATTCTTTTGTGAATGGATGGAATAATTAGGAATATTAATACTTAATACTTAACGCTAGATATACCTCATTCCTTCACAAAAGGATTCAATTTTTAATTTTTGAGAAGTCATTTAAAGTTTGACCAAAGTCATATGAAAAGGCACCAACATTTACGACACGAAGATAAGTATCACAAAATTAAATATGAAATTTATTTCTCTCAATAAACCTATTAGATATAATTAAACAGTAACACTATTCACTATAAACTTTGTTAAAATTAAACTAGTTTGACTTGATGGAGGGAGTACTTGTCAACACTTAGATATTTGTTATTGGTATTACCTGAACAATCACTAATGAACAATAAGCTCATGTTTTTGTTTAACTAAAAATCACCATTAGACAAAAAAAAAAAGGTTAATAACCTCACCCAACGAAAAGTGTCGATCAATCCATTCAACATACTCAAGGAACCAAACGACCCTGGCCCTTGGGCTACTCTTGGACCCTGCGTGCGCCACCTTCCACCAACAGTGCAAGTTGCCGAGGATTCTAATGTGAAGTAAACCTGCGTACGATTGATTTGAAGAATTACCGCCAATCCACTGTACCCCCAAGATCACTCGTCAAGCACAAGAGAAACAGATCAGTATCGGCAGGCAGGTGGTTGGATTTGAGGTTCTCTGCTAAAGACTCGCGCATGGACAGACGCCGGTCCTTGCCCTCTGCTTATATTACGAGGACATCGGAGAGGAAGCAACACGGAAGCAGCTGCAGCAGGAGGGGCGACGCACGGCGACGCCGTGCCCGTGCGTTTGTCGATCATCGTATCGTATCGTGGCATGTTTCAACAGAGGAGTAGTAGCAGCGACCGAGCGCGGTTGCTACTGCCAAAGTGACGATTGACACCGACAGGCAGCAGGCACTTTAATTTGCTGTCACCACCTGAATGAACTCTGTGCTGTGATTGAGAGGAAATCCAAGGAAGGAACGAAGCTTGGTTTTTTTTTTGTCTTTTCGGTCGCCAGATTCAGAGGACGACTCAAGGCTCAGCTGGTCGTTTCGTTTCAGCGGTTGCCTCCGTGGCTCCGTTCTACTGCTGCGCCAGCGAGTGGATGGACAGGCAGGCCACCTGGATGCCCGGATCCATCACCGCCTCAGAGAATTGAGACACGGAGCAAGCATGGCCACGGTCAGCTGCTGCGACATTGGGCCTGGTGGCACTGTGTTTACACAGGGACAGGGCAGAAAGAAGCCTGGATTACAGACAGACTGTGCGGTGGTGCCGTTCTGCTTGTATGGTGCCGTGGGACAAAAGGGGCCGGGGGTGCGCGCAAATATTCGGTTCTGGGCCCACGAAACTCAGTAACCCCCAAAGTTCCTCCTTTCCATGACTGACGTACTCCTCGTATACCTGGCTCAACTAGACACGTTTATGAATGGTTCTACAACAAATTCTAACAAAAACTTTAAAGCTCCTAATAGTTGTTTTCACAACCTGAATTTGTAGCATGACATCTTCCTCTCTCTCTCTCTCTAGGTAGATTCTAGCCAATTTTAACCACGCTTTATTGTTATCTCTCTTAAATTAAATTATTTCAAATTTGACCATGTCAATTTTTTTTAAGACAGGGTATAGACGCAGCTTGAGTTAACCAATCTTAATTTTCTATCTAAAAAAATCTAGCCTTGCTAGACGCGGCAAGGCAAATCAAGTGAGCAAGCCAACCAAATCAGTCCCTAAACTCACAAATCGCTCGTTTAGGTTCTCGAACTTGTCCGATTGTGTCATGTCGGTCCCTAAGCTTACAAATCGCCCATTTAGGTCATCAACCTTGTTCAGTTGTGTCATCCTGGTTCCTAAATGTTGTAAATGTTCTAAACTTATAAATTCAATATATATTTATAGAATTGTCAAAAATTATAAATCTAATTTTGTTAGACTCCTCGTAGCATGTACTTTAAAGTAGAATAAAAGAAATCACCCTATACTTTCTATTTTAGGGAGAAAACCAGGGAGATCATATGTTCGGTTTGAAAAGATAGGGAGGAGTTTGTCTGATTTTCTAGTCTAGGGAGAAAAAGGTAACTTTTGCGATAATTGGGAGAGTCAAAGTAAACATTTTCCTTTTCTTTTCGCAAATCTTATCCCATTGATTGATCGCCAGTCACGTTGTGCTGCACGGGCCGCTCCACTGCCCCAGCCCAGACAGACGTTACTGGCTTACTGCAGCCGAACCCGGTCCATTTCAGCGATGTCCAATTCCGTACTGTTTCTACCTCAGGAGCAATATGGCCCACATCGAAAGCCCACGGCCCATATCCTCTCGCCTCCTCCCCTCCCCCCGGCCTCTACTAAAGAAACGCCCAGCAGCAGCCTCCGCTTCCTCCTCTCCTACAGCTTCACACTTGCCCACAGTCTCCAACCGCTCCCAGCCAGACTCCCTGGTGTGTGTGTGTCTCTTGTCGCGAGCCGCCCGAAGCTTCGGGCCCTGACGCGTGGGCCCCGTCCGCGTCCGCCCCGCCCCGCCCCCGCCCCGCCCCCACGTCGCCGGCCATGGCGGGGCAGCCGCCGCCGCCCGGGGGCTCCGAGGACGACTTCCTCGAGCACTTCTTCTCCTTCCCCTCCGCGGCCTCCGCCGCCGCCGCCGGGGGCCACGCGGACGCCGGTGCCGGCGGCGTCCACGGCGGGGACCACCCCTTCCCCCTCGCCCTCAGCCTCGACGCCGCCGCCGAGGCCAAGACGGTGAGCTCCCAAGCCCCAAGCCCCAAGCCCCGAGCCCCGTGGGAGTGCTTGCTCCTGCTGCTACTAGTCGTCCAAGTGAAAGGCTTCACGCCCTGAGTGCCTGACTGAGTGTGTGTGGGTGCCTTTCGCAGGACCGTGACCCCGTGCAGCTCGCCGGCCTCTTCCCGCCGGTGTTCGCTGGCGCCGGCGGCGTGCAGCAGCCACACCTCCGCGGACCACCTCCTCAGCAGGTCGCAGCCGCAGGAGCAATTTTGTGTCCCAGCGGAATGCTATTCTCCACTTCTTCTCTCTCTCTTGCGAATTTTCGAGGCTGCTGTTGATTCTTGCCAGTTCCACGCAGATGTTCCAGGCGCAGCCGAAGCCGGGCGAGGGAGGCATGGCGCCGCAGCCGCCAGCCCCGCGGCCCAAGGTGCGCGCGCGGCGGGGGCAGGCCACCGATCCCCACAGTATCGCCGAGAGGGTAAATACCTGACGAACTCCACCCTTGCATGTACAATAATTGCAATTTAGACCGCAGTTTCGTCGTATCAGTGCAGACGCCTGCGCAATCTGAGGTTGCTGTAGTAGCCAGTAGTGGCCCACGAGAGGTTTTTCAACTTAGCTGCTCGTTTTCTCTATTATCAAGAAAATTGAATATTTGACACCCAATCCGAACTTGACATCCAATTCGCGTCGTTGAAAATTTGCTGAAAACAGGTGTTTTCTCCTCCTTTTCTCCATTTAACATTTTTTTTCTTTTTTCTTTTGCTTTCCAAGGCAACGTACCTTGGCCCTATCCATCCATTTCTTCTTAGAAACGAACGCATCTCTCTCTCCCGTACTCATTTTTCTTCGATTTCGTCACGCCGCCGCCGCGGGTGCTGCGGTGCAAGAGGCACTGCCGATGTGTTTAAGGGCTGGGCGTTGCTTTCGTATCTTGCTGACTGTATCTTGCTGTGGGGTCACGGGTGGACGATGTGGTGAACAACAGCAGGCATATGGCGTGCCTTGGAAAGCAAAAGAAAAAAGAAAAAAATGTTAAATGCATCATGAACTAATTCTACTTGCAGCAACGACACCCATGATGTTGCATTGTATTGGGTGTCAAATCACCGCATCTTTTGGATAGTTCATAAGTAACAAACTGGAAACTTGTTTTCTTGCTGTGGGGTCACTGAGTGTGCTATGATTTACTCATGAGCTACTTGCAGCATATCAATGATTGTGTTTCATAGTTCATAATCAAACTGGAAACTTGTTTTCTACTGAGTAATTAGGATTATGCAAGTATCCAGTGATTGTGTTTCAAGGTTAAGCCACTTGTTAAAGGTAATGGAACAGTAGCTGGCATGTTGGCATGTTGCTTGTCTTTTACTTGTGTTAACTTCCACATGCTTTCTTTTAGATGAACTTTTTATTTTACACTGAAACTTTGTGAATTCTCATAGGGGGTTTTATCAGTTTTTTTTTTCTTTAAAACCTCCATATGTTCCGATGCAGCTAAGGAGAGAGAGAATTGCAGAAAGGATGAGGGCATTGCAGGAATTGGTCCCCAACACAAACAAGGTAATAATTCATGCCATATTTCCGGATGTCATACTTGCGTGTTTGAAATGCCTACCATGGAATTTTCAGCAAGTGGTCCAGGCTTATGATGACCTGACAGTAGGGTTTATCATAGTGCATCTAGTTCTTTTTGTCTTATGAACATGATTATCTGCAGAGATGATAATTGTTGTTCCCTCATAAGTGCATAACTGT